GAGAAGTGGCCATTTTGGAGCATGTAATTTGAGAGGGCGCAATTAGTAAGGATCTAGCCAAAGTTAAGGCCATTCAGAAATGGAAGCCTCCCACCAGGGTTATTGAATTCCGCTCCTTCCTTAGTCTTGTGAATTACTAATAAAGATTATCTCTAGATTCTCAGCACAGGCTACTACCCTCACCAACCTACTGAAGAAGTCAAGCACTTGGATTTGTACCAAGCAACTTTTGATTATTTGAAGCAAACAATCTCTAAGGCTCAGTTTGGAAAGAGTACAAATGCAAATATGTATAGTGCAATTATATACAAAATAATACAAAACATAAGGTTTTGCACTTTACAAATTTGCATTTGTACTCCTTCCAAATGGAGCCTAAATAACATATCCTTGGATCATAGAAAGCCTTAAGAGCTATAGATTGGTGCTTCTGACTTTGCGATTGGTAGGGTTTTGATGCAAGAACGACACCCCATTGCTTATGATAACTGCAAGTTGAATGATGTTGAGAGGAGGTATGCTGTACAGGATATGGAAATGACTACCATCCTCCATTGCTTTTGCACTTGGCAACACTATTTTCTTGTCTCCAAGTTCATGGTCAAGACCAACAATATAGCCACCAACTACATAGTCACAAAATAAGTTGAGCCCTAAACAAGCTCAATGGCAATACTTCTTAGCAGAATTTGATACGACTCTTGAGTACAAGTCAAGACCAATGAACTAGGTTTTTTATGCACTCAGTAAAAGGATTGAGTTAGCAACTTTGTTTACGGGTAAGGGACCATCCACTAGCTAAGTCAGATTGAGCTTCGCTGACCACAATAGAGAAGCGCTCAAGAAGGACCCCCACAGGTCAAAGTTTAATGATAGTGTCTTGTATGTACTCAAGAACCACCGCTTGACCTTGGTGGTTGGACCATTGACCCATTTTAGCTGATCACCGGATCACGGGTTGTGCATTTAATGTATGTGCAAACTTCTAGAGGCTACAACTTTGCGCTCAGATATTAGTTGAGGTTATCATTTTTATTATGGGTATTTGTCCCGCTATTTTCGCAAAAAAAAAAAGCGTTTTTCATCATTTTGCAAAATCTAACTTTTTTTACAAATAAAAAATTTAAAACATAAAATAATATTTATATATACATATATTACATCTAAAAAATAATTATTCATTTTTTGATAAAATACATGTTTATACACACATACACATACATATATGCTGGCGTGAAATGGTCTAATCCAATTCAACCTGAATGGTTAGACCAGCGACCAGTGACCTGAAAGCAAAAATGGTTCTGCCACTGTGTCGGTTTGGTTGGATGGTCTTTTATCATCAAAACGGACAAGCAATGTTAATACTTGTGTATAATTGAAAACTTCATTTGACTAAAATTGTTTCAATGTGGAACAGACCTTATATTCATGCAAACCGGAATGGGTGTTCTCTAACCATTTTTTCTAGAGCTACAAATGGGTTGAATTTAATGAAAGTTGAATTTAAATATGACTCATTTAACTCATTTTATGAATTTTGTTTAGCTGCAATCAGCGTGAATTAGGTTTGAAAACTGTCTTGAACCAATTATTAATTAATTTTATAAGATAGACCAAAACCAAATCGATTATTAATGAGGATAATTTGGTCTTACCCAATTATACATCACATGTATAATTACCTATATTAATAACAATTTAGAACTTCATTTGACATCCCATAGAAACAACATATGCCGACCTCGAAATGGGTCCGTGCATTTTAACACATCGCTATACTAACACGTGGCAAATTTCAGCCTGATGTCTATTTAAGCTGTGTTTGGTTTGAAGGAAAACGTAGGGAAAGGAAGGGAAAGGTAGGGAAACCTTTAAAAACCTCGTATAGGTTTCTCTACTTTTTCATCCCTTTCTCTACCTTTTCCTTCGAACCAAACATAGCCTTAGTGTATGATCAACATCGACTAATCATATTCAAACCTATGGAAATCAACATTGTGTGGTTTTCAGGGGTAGTGTGGGTAATGACATTGTGGATGTGCCTAATATAGTCTGGTTGGAGGTAGTATTTTCAACCTGTGGTTGACCCATTGAAACAATCACCTAATCAAGACTTGGGTCCGGCTTGCATGAAACTTGCCATTTGGTAAAAAACTGCCTAATCCATGCAGTTGAACCATTGACCTGTTTGACCCGGTTATTGGATCACGTTTTGCGCATTCAATGTATGTGCAAACTTCCTGAGGTCATAACTTTGTTTTCAGATGTTCAATTGGGGTGATATTTTTTTTATTTTTATTTTGGGCAAGGTTCAAAATATCGATATGCCGGTATGGGCATATTAGACGAATTGATACAGCTTTTGTTTTTTTATTTTTATTTTATTTTTTTTTGCATTTGGTTCAAGGGAGCCGGTTTAGGCCTCCTCCACACCATGAGCCGGTCAGACCCCGATGCACCCACTATAGGAGCATATTAGAGGGGTCTCAGAATGATACATATTGATCGATACGGGCCGATACCGGTACGTGTCGATACTTTGAACCTTGATTTTGGGTAATTACCTCGCAATATTTGCTAGAAAACTTTCTCCCCTCAAATTGCAAAATTTAGCAATTTTTACAAATAAAAATTAAAAACCATAAATTGAGCATAAAGTAATATTTATAGATACATACATTACATCTAAAAAATAATTATACAGTTTTATTGATAAAATACATGTTTATATATACTTATACACACACATTATTTATATATATATATATATATACTTAACATCTATAATTACCTATAATAATAACAATTTAGAACTTCATTGATGGTACAACCTTAATAAAAAAGGCAGAAAAATAGCAACTTGTTTGAATGTTAGCAAAACAAAATTATTTTTATATTTTATACATTGTTTAGTTCCGAACAACAAGGGCAAGTCCTCACCCAATTATTAATTGAGACGCAAAGCACAAAACTAGAACTGACATAATTGGTGCATTCAGTTAAATTATATTGGGTAAATTATAAATAGATACTCTATACTTTGGGGGTAGTGACACTTAAAGGGCCTGAACTTTCAAGTGAGACATTTTAGTACCCTGAACATTTAAATATGTGCTTAAATCCAACTATGTTAAAACTGGCATTACAATGAGAGTAAAATTACAGATTTGCCCTTGTTTAAGTTTGCTTTCAATTTTTTACCTTCAAATGATCTACGTAATTTGAATCATATATGTTGAATTTGAAAGTAGAACTTAAATATTTTTACTCATTTTATCGTCCTTTTATTTTAGTCCCTTTTACATCTGAAACCATCTCTGTGTTTCTTTTTAATAAAGAATAAAAGCATTTCAATGGAATGATGAAAATTAATGAAGAAAAAGAAACTTGAATATGAACATTTTTGTAATTTTATCCTATTGTAATATTAATTTTAAGGGAATTGGACTCAAGTGTATATTTCTAAAAATCAAGGTTACTAAAATGTCCTATTTAAAAGTTCAGACTTTTAAGTGTCACTACAAACGTTATAGCATATACACCATGTTTTATATTTAATTTTATAGATTAAATTGTACATAAGTTTACTGATTATTGGCGGATCGGATTAAAAAGCACCCATCGAATTTGATCCGATCCCTTCACAGACCAACCTCTTTTATTTTATTTTTTTCCAATTGTTTCATATAGGAAAAAGATAATTTTATTTTACCCTGAAAAAAAATACAGAAAGGACAATACATCAAGAACAATTTCGTCAACAAAAAGTATTGCGTTCTGTTATTTCTCAGATGTACTGTCTGTCCGTTTGGAGTTCCTATCATCAGGGGATGTTTCCAATACACGGCGGGATTATGCTATGTGGCGTTGTGGGGCAGAGATGTGAACTTGATCGTCTGATGGTCGAGTTCCTCTTTCCACCACGGCACAATGCCGATCCCAACAATCGGTCAAGGGAGATGTAAGGAGACCGGTTGTTGGGATCCTGTGATAGAATTAGATCGGCATTCCAATCGACGACGAGATGTTCTCTATGTACGGTTAAATGAAGGATGTTGGTACTCTGTTGGGACTCTGCATTGAGACCTGATCCGGACTTACAAGGCCACAACCACAAACAAAACACATCTGCTGGTGCCTCAACGCTGGTGACTAGTGACTTCTAATTAGCGAGTCCGGATCTTCTCCTCTTCACAGGAGAGCAAATCAGTCCCTACAAGATTGTCTCCCACAACGTTTTACAGCACATTCAAGCCGTGTATTGGGAACATCTCCCGAACATCAGAAATGGTGATGTAATCATTGAAAAATATTCAGAATGAAGATGTGCTGTGGAACGTTGTGGGGGGCTAATTTACTTTCGAAGAGAGTTCACAATACCGTAAATTAGGAATATTTCTATACTTGTATTGGAGAGATATTTCGAATAGAGGGTGGGATGTGGCTGTGAGATCGGTGTGTGGCGCGCTAGTTAGCAGGCTGAACTACCGAAGTAAACAAAACCAAATCGAATCTTTTTTACTCCTAAGGAGTCCTGTGTTTCTTCCACGCCGTTAGATGGTCCATCCAAGATTTTATCCATATCAACCCGACCCAATCCAACGGCTGGGGCTTGGTCTATAGAATTCTCAACATCTTCCCTTAGCGGATACGACTCTATCTGCATCATTTTTACCTTATCACATTCATGAAAAGACAAATTAACCCTCTTCAACGATCAATAACCCAAAGCCGAGTCAAATATGTCTCTGTCTTAAAATCAAAAGCCAGGCCTTCTGCTCCATTTCGGCATTTCGTCCGTGCAATTCAGAAGTTCAATTTCAACGCAGCGAAACTTCAATTTCTTTTAAATTTTGTTTAAAAGGTTTGGGGAATTTTATTTCGCTGTTTTTTTTGAAGTAATTTCGGAATCTGTCTCTGTTGTTTTCTCATCATTAACATGGTGGATTGTTTTTCTTTAGCTCATATGTTTTTTCCCCTATTTTTGACAGTGCTGTTTCGTATAAATTTCAGTACTTCGATTTTAGTTTCGACAGTTCAAAACCCTAATCCTGGGATCAGCCGAAAAGGCTATTCATTTGGAGACCACCAACAGCTCATAAGGGTTTCAAAAACCCTTACTGCTTCCAATCTACTTACGTGTTTCATTTGATTTTGTTCTGGTGTTAAAGTTCAATTTTATGCTTATTTTTTTTTGATGAATACTTCAATTTTATGCTTATTGAAAAGCTTTCTATCTCATTTCCGAATCGGTTGAAGATAGATGCCTGGCTTTGATATATTCCTGTTTTATTATTGTTGCCCCTGTTCTTATTGTTATGTTCCTTTTCTCTGTTTTGCAGATTCATATAGTTACAAAGCATTTGTTAATAAGACTTGCAGCTGCCATTGATTCAATTTCGATATTGAGGTATTTTCTTGGTAATATTATTAATAATGTTGAGCTTTGAAATGCAACTTGACGAAAACATGTTTCATTTATTCATCACAAAAGAAAAAGAAATGCAACTTGACGAACCAAACCTGATCGACTACTAATATGGAATTTGTTTATTTTTATTTTTCATTTTTTCCTTCTCCTTTTTCGAGTTTGCAAAGAAAACACAGTTTTTCACGTATTACAATCCGAGATGAAATTGTTTTTGAATAACGCTAAATGATACGAGTTAACAAAAAGTAACTTACATGACTGAAATGTTTCTAGCAAATAAAGGGAATAAATGAGGTACAGTGGACTCTACTAATATGAAATGACCTTCAAATTGTACTGCATTGATCACACACATACATTGGGGCCATTGTTTGATGTAATGGTAAAATCTTGGGCTGATAAGCATTGATTCAGATCCCTAGGTTTGTCCATAACAGTTATGGATAATGATGGGTGAGGTAACATAGGCAATCAAGGATATAAGCATGGCAACAATTATTTCTTTCATTATTTTATTATCTTCTTTCCAAMTGAAAGAGGAAAGATTATATGGAGGTCTAGCAGAGCTGCTGTTTTGCAGTTCTTTTTGGAAGGAGAGGAATGCTAGTGTCTTTCAAGACAAGAAGATTCAGCTAGAAGTGTTGATGGACTTAAATTTGAGAATGGATAATTTGATCATCATTAGAAATTGAGTTTGCTAATTTTTCTGTGGATGGTTCATTGAAAGGATGGCAAGAGATTTCAAAATCCTCCACTATAAGTCAGATTAATGTGCAGAACTGGTCTCCCTTCCCAGGGAGCTATTAAGTTAAACTTTGATGTCTGCTCTCTGAGAAATCCAGGGATAAGCGGTCCTTTTAGAGATTCAAATGTAAATGTTTTTTTTTTTAACGTATACTCAAGTTTGGTTGGTCATGGCATTACCATAAGAGAAGAACTTGTTAGAGGGGCTGAAACCAGTGTTGCATGGACTTGGATAATGGAATCAAAATCCAACACGTGTCTGGAAGTCTTGATAAGGAAAAAAAATCAAAGACTCATGAACATATCCATAAAAATTTATAAACTATTAAAACAGTCCATGCTTCTTTGTTCCCACTTCTAACATTACATTACCTATAAAATTTATCTGTTATTTAGTAACAGTTTCTGGAAAAATGGCATTCATTGCGTATATTAGCAATTTATTTTTGCCACATAAGCAAGTAGATAAAATAACATGTTATTTTGAATGTCCATTAAGAATCCATGGAGTGTCAGAATCCGAAACTTACCTATGAAAATATCCCTTCTAGAGCAATTAATTTAAAATAGAAAGATCTAACCATGAAAAAATCCCTCGGACCTACTGTGCAGTTTTTTATCTGGATCTCCAGTGAAGATCCTATCTGCTGTATTTGGGCTAACAGTTTGACAGAGCAATGACTTTCCAATTACAAGCAAACTTTAGGCCTGAATATAATAGGACTCCATTTCTGATGTTTCTCATTCCATTTGTCCAGTGAAGCCCTGCACTTTTCTTCTTCTTGGTTGATAATTTGAAGCCCTGCAACTTAGGTGATTCCTTAAATCTAGTTATAGGATAAGGGATGAGGAAATGCAAACAAGCATATCACTTCTAATAGAAAGTGATGCTTTAGTTTTCTAATTACAGTAGGAAGCTCTAGAGGATTTTATTTTGATAGTAATTTGATGGGTTGACTCACCTAGATTTCGTGAAGAAGGTTGAGGATGGTGGAGAGAAGACCCAAGGGGGGTGAAGTGGAAAGGTGTAAGATTTCACAGAAAACTAAAAAGATATGGAAACTGAAAAGAGAGTTGGATGAAGCCATTTTGAGAGAAGAAATTTCTTGGAGGTAGAAGTCTAGATATAAGTGGCTTAAGGAAGGAGATGGGAACACTAAATTTTTTCATGAACTAGCCAATGGAAGGAGAAGGAAAAACCTAGTATCCAAACTGTGAGTGGATGGACGACTAGTCCTTGATTCCCAAGAGAGGATAACCAATTGTTTTGTTGACTATTTCAAATCCATCTTAAGTAGGCCCCTTGGACCTAGTGTGGAGTTGGAAGGTATGACCTTGCAGAGGCTTCCAGAAGAGAGTAGAAGCTAGTTGGAAAGGGATTTTGAGGAGGAAGAAATTAGAAAAGCTGTTTTCTCCATGAACAGATCTAAAGCATCAGGGCCAGACGGTTTTACAATGGCTTTATTTCAAGATTGTTGGAACATAGTCAAAGAAGGTTTTATTGAGGTCTTCAAGGATTTTGAGGATAATTCAGTGATTAGTCATGGAATTAATGCTACTTTTTCAGCCTTAATTCCCAAGAAGAAAGTGGCCAAGCATCCAAAGGACTTTAGACCTATTAGTTTGGTGACTAGTGTATACAAGATTGTGGCTAAGATAAAAAAGGTGCTTCCTTGTCTTATCAGCCAAGCCCAAGGAGCTTTTGTTTAGGGGAGACAAATAGTAGATCGGATTTTAATAGCAAATGAGTGTGTAGAGGAGATGAGGAGATCGGGTCATCAAGGTTATGTTTGTAAATTAAGTCTTGAAAAGGCCTATGACCTAGTGGATTGGGGATTCTTATTACTTGTACTAAGGAAGTGTGGGCTTGGGGATAGATGGTGCAAATGGATAAACGGTTGCCTTCCCTCTTGCCATTACTCCATCTAGTCAATGAGGTAGTTAATGGTTTTTTCCCAGCTAGTGGGGATTTGAGACAAGGTGTTCCCATGTCACCTTTCCTATTCACTTTAGTTGCCAATGCTTTTAGTAGACTCTTCTCAGAAGCAGATAGGGCCAGATCTTTAAGAGGGTGGACAATAGGTAGAGATAGAGTTTTAGTAACCCATCTTCAATTTTTAGATGACATAATAATCTTTTGTGGAGGTTGTGATCTGATGGAGGTGAGGAATTTGAAGGATAATTCACTTTGAGAGGGCCTCAAATTTGAAGATGAATTTTGAGAAGAGCTGTGTTGTGGGAATACATTTGAACAGAGAAGAGATGGAGTCTATAGCAGCCTCGTTAGAATGCACTTGGTCTTAGTGTCCTCTATCCTACCTAGGACTTTCCTTAGGTGCAAGTCTAAAGGAAAGTAGGTTCTGGAACTCGGTGGTGGAAAAATTCGAGAAAAGATTGGCAGCTTGGAAGAGAAACTATATTTCCTTGGGGGGTAGAGTTACTTTGATTAAAGCAACTTTAGCCAACTTGCCATTATACTTCCTGTCAGTCTTTAGAATTTCTAAAAGTGAGGCAAAGGGTGTCAAGACTGTTGGAACAGGCCAACAGAAGGCAGTTAGTTAGTTTTACAAGAGGAGGCCACATCAGCTCAACTAACCAGCCACTTGTAATAACCGCCATCTACTTGTAACAACTGCCACCCAATTGGACTGTCAAGACTGTTGGAACAGGCCAACAGAAGGCAGTTAGTTAGTTTTACAAGAGGAGGCCACATCAGCTCAACTAACCAGCCACTTGTAATAACCGCCATCTACTTGTAACAACTGCCACCCAATTGGACTGTCAAGACTGTTGGAACAGACCAACAGAAGGCAGTTAGTCAGTTACAAGAAGAGGCCACATCAGCAGCCACTTGTCACAACTGCCATCCACTTGTAACAGCTGTAACAGTCAAGATTGTAACACTATAAGTAGTAGAGCCAAAAAGGAATAAAGGAGGACTCTTTCAGCATTAGACTCTCTCTCTCTGTTTTCCTCTCTCTTCTTCCAAGAATTCAGGAGGTTGGCCCCTCGAAGAGCCCTGAGTTAGGCATGTTCCTAACAATTTGGTATCAGAKCTAGCATGACCAACACAAGAAACACATCAGTAGACACCCGAGTGGATCAGATGGAAGTCGAGATCCATCGAATGTCTTCAGATCTCAAAGAAATGAAGGAAAGCTTCACTGCTCTCCTCCATCGACTGGAGCAGGGGGCAACAAACATTGACAGAGGAAGCCCCGAAGAGCACAGCAATGAAAACAGTCATAGAATAGGGGCGACAACACAAATAGCCAAAATCGACTTCCCCATATTCTCAGGCGGCGACCCAACCCCCTGGATTCTCAGAGCAGAAAGGTATTTCGATTACCATGAAACACCGGGACAGGATAGGGTAGCTCTGGCTTCTGCGTATCTTGAAGGGGAAGCTATCCTCTGGTTTCAATGGTACCGAAGGGGGCACCCCCGTCAAACCTCGGCAGACTCACGGACGCCATGATTGTCCGTTTTGGATCATCTGGGTTCGAAGATCTTGATGAAAACTTGGCAAAACTGCAGCAGGTGGGATCAGTAAAAGAATACTAGATGGAGTTTGAAAGGCTGGCCGTGAGAGTCCAAGGATGAACTGAGAAGGCGCTGGTGGGAAGCTTCGTCGGCGGCCTAAATGAAGAATTGCGACTGGAAGTGAAGGCGACGCAGCCCACTTCTGTCATCAATGCGGTAGCACTAGCAAGATTGTATGAGGACAAGTTCAGCCTAGCAAGAAAGGTGCAGCGACCATGGGGTCCAGAAGCAAGAAGGGAGCAAGAAAAGACAACAGCACCAGACAAGGAGGAARGAGTACTGGGYCCAGGCCMACTGGTTCCTTTCAAACGGCTGACTTGGGCAGAGATGCAAGCCCGTAGAGACAAAGGTCTCTGTTACAACTGCGAAGAGAAATTTGGGCCGGGCCATCGCTGCAAGAAACAACAAGCGTTTCTCCTCCAAACAGATGCCGAAGAGGAAGATAACATCCCCGGTTGCGGAGAATCTAACCCAGGTTGGGAAATACAATCCAATGGCACGCCTGAAATATCCTTACAAGCCCTTATGGGACTTGTGTTTCCTCAAACAATGAGTTGCAGGGCTGATTCTAGGGCGCCAAGTGTCAATCCTCATAGACAGTGGCAGCTCCCTTAACTTCATAATCCAAGTCTTGGTAGATAAAATGGGACTTCCGGTTCAGCCAACAACAGCCTTTACGGTTCATGTGGCCA